TTCACTTTCAAAACGATTGACTGCTATGAAAACTGTCGTCAGTGATTTGTAAGTGAAATCGACTGCAACTAATCAATCTTGATGCACGCAGAAACTGTTAGAATAATGAACATTTGAAAGCGAAACATAATTAAAACGGACAATTGCTTGGGTGGGTTCTATTGTGTTGGGTGTAATGATTTTGGTTCATTTAAATATTTACCATCTTTTCTTCCTCAAATTTAATGGATTTCAGGTAAAAGAGTATATCATTGAGAGCCTGATGAAAGAATCGGAACCTTATTTGGGAATGGCCGTCACATTCACATTGATTGAATATGCGAAAGAGCATCTCGATGATCTGCTCAAAGATCAGGTTTCGTTTTCTTTAGCTCCCACCTTTCTTCCTGCCATCAGTTTCTCAGAACATTTTCAATTCGAAAATCTAGCTTACGATTAGTTTTTCAATTAATTCAAGTCTCAGTTGTGCTTTCGATATCCGTTAAATGTATTAAATCCAATCGAACGGTTGACGTTTATAAACTGAGAAATTGTTTACAGAATGAGGCAGCAGTTTTGGCAGCAGAAACTTCAGAGTTGCGAGTGGATGATTCAGAATCAGAATCGGATGAGTCTAAAAATGGAATGTTTGGTATGAAAGGCAAGACGCAAATGACGAAAGCACAGAAAAGGAGAATGTGGGATCGAACCGATGCTTCAAAACACGGACAGATGGTGCGTTGAATTTAAAAATAAACTCATAAATGAAAATTTTTTAAATTTTCATTCATTTCAGGAATTTGTCACTTAATTATTTAACCAAAAATAAAGAATGTCCGCCTCACATCTGTTCATGCAGTGCATCTTTAAATTATTTACAATTGTTTGGTTGTTCATGGTTTCGGGTTCATCATTCATGTTCTTGGCAGTGGATTTATTTCCCTTTAAGAAACACGTGTAANGTTCATGGTTTCGGGTTCATCATTCATGTTCTTGGCAGTGGATTTATTTCCCTTTAAGAAACACGTGTAATCTCGTTATCTATGACATAATTGATAAACTTTTGACCTTAGTGGCCTAAAAATGTCATAAATGTATCACGTCTGTGACGATTTATATGAAATGTTTCAGGAACGAGGTTGGAATTGGGTCGACATCCTCAGGCACCTTTCGCAGACACGTGATAATTGATCTTTGCCGAACGATTTATGGTGTTCCTATCTTTCGTTTGATATTTTCGTATCAGTCAATCGGTGCACTGTTATTTGCTCTTCTTATCAATCAACTAATTTGTTATCTCTGATGGAATATATAAATTCTTTGTTATGATGATCATCTTTGTGTATTAATAAATCATTGTGATAATAAAACGTATTTAAAGTCGAAGCTCTCGAAACTGATCTCATTGCGGTTTTATCTCCGTTCTTATATGTAGTTTTTCGTTTGGTTTTTTCAACTTATTGTTATCTTNGCTTATCAAGTTACTGAATCCAAGTTTTCAATGAGTTGTTGACCGTTTTGTGTAAATATTTAAAGGTCTTTAACTGTATGATGATTTGGAAGAATGAGTTATTTATGGAATAAATACGTTGATACGTAATAAACGAATAAGAATAAGACTGAAAATCATATCGTTTATTTGTGAATTGTCGATGAAGTTTACACTGAATTTATTTGTGATTTTAATTGTTTATGAAGGTCAAAATAAGCGTGCCTCGAGCATTGGTTTTCGTTTGTTGTGAACATATCTCGTGATGGCTGTACGATTGCGCGTGATCACTCTGAACTGTTGGTGAGTTTTTTGGCTTGCGAATTCTCTTTTACATGATGCGTTCCATTTGATTCCTATGTTTCAATTTATTTTAGTGTCTGAACCTTGAAATGTTCTAGTTTTCGAATAAGGCAGTGCTGCCATCGTTTTGTCACCTACATATAATTTGGCAAATTTTGTGATTGAAGGGCTTTACCTCAACCGTGGCCGATCGGAAGTAGCGATCGACAGTACCGATTAGAGAAATTATGTGAAGCGTTAGTGAGCACCGAGTACGATGTTATTTCACTACAAGAGGTCAGCGATTGTTTTTTTTTGTTGATATTGTTGTTTATGTAATGTCAAATCTTAGTGAACTACGTTGTGCTTTTTTTTGTGGGGCAAGAAAAATTCCATCAGCCGAATACACCGTTAGCGTTGGCAGATAAGTTTGACGACGAAATCAAATGTCGACTTCAAAAGTAG